ATTTAGTTTTACCAGCTTTTCTACCATACTCACCCACCTATACACGCACACAAGTATATTAAAGAAAATTAAAATTTTAATACTTACAAAATCACCGTCAGTCTAGTCACTGGATTCGAACAATGCCCTTTGCCACCACGACTTTTACATTCCTCCTCTCTTAATAGTCACTCAATATCCAAAAACATTATGCCTTTTTGGGGTGTGGCGTGTGTGTTTCAGTGTGAGAGAAAGAGAAGCCTGACCAAAAGTTTGTCATCTCTAGTAAGTCGTTGAATGCTTCTGTTGTTACAAATTCAACTAAAATAAAAAGGTCACATCTAGGCTTTAAAATTGAAAACAAAATGGTTAAAACTACATATTATGAACATAAAATCTACTCAATGGTGTGATTTCGCCACATACGTATCTACCGAAACTACTATTTGATTAATTAATAAAACACATGGCTTACTTTCGAAGATATGTATCAACTCTACTATTTAAAATTGTTTTAATATCTCTCTGACACGCTCATCAGCCATTCTTCTTATTAAATAAAACCGTTGTAAATCTAAAATCACTTTAAAAGTTTTAAAACACACCGTGTTCATTACCAATACAAATTACTAGTTACCCCTAAACTTAGAAACACTATAATGATGCCGAAATTTTCGTATTAAATTCACAGGTCTTCGGTATAGAGATATCTATTATGTCATGCGACACTTTGTTATAATTTAAAGGACTACATTTAAATGTAATATCTATATATTAAATAACTGATTCATTTATATTTTTGTAAATTTCAAAGTTGTTAACAACATAAATGTAAGTTATTCATACGGGAATATATAAATCAGAAAAATATAACGTTTAAATTACATAATTGTCAGCAACTTATAACTAACTACAATTACAGTTCAGCTCTACCTGTAAACCAGGAATAGCTTACTTGTGAAAATTTGCGAAAGTCATAATTATGCGTTTAGTTAACATATGTATAAAATTTGGATAGAACATGTAATTTACAGATTACCAAGGTACATTTAAAACCATTTGAAAAACACATTTAAATACTGACACCTATATATAGATAAATAAAACGTAAAGTGGATCAGAACTGCAAGTTTCAAATGTATTAACAAATGTAGCTGTACTTAACTAAAGACTTTTTACATCTAATATTCATTTATGATCTGACACTATATTTTCTTTAGTTAAAGTTATGTGAAATGTTCAGTTACGATATAAATCAACTTTGTAAAACAGATTTAAATAACTTTGAGCTTTACTTAATTAGGGCCAAGTGAAAATTACGACTACAGAACTAAAGGTAAAATCGCAATTTTTTCCCAGAGTTCGTTTTTTATGTATGTTTATCGATATATTCTTTATCACCTTGTCCTTTTTGTATGATTCTTTTTTTATTAGTAAGGGGGTACCTCAGAGGTGGTCTCCTATAAATTTGACCCAAATGTTTTGATGGCATCTGCAAGATTTTGAAGTCGATTTTTTAAAATTACTTTTATAACTTGTCTTCCTGCCAATTCATTTGAACTAGATTTTCTTTTTAAAATTATTGTATCTGGTGTACTCAAACAAATTTTATATATTTTTTATTTCCACTTCCTCCATAATTTTGTGAAAACAGAATCTCCCTAAAGTCTTGCCTTTGCACTGCACGTCCTTCACACCTCACACTTCCAGTCAATTGTTTATCCTTATCATTGTCTATGACCCTTTTAAACATTATTTTTTATTTCCACGTTATGCCAGAAAGCATTTTGTTACCTCAGAAATAAACAACCAATATTTTATGTTGAAGTTATTGAAGATATCAGAAGTAATAGTCATAAAGCCCACGTGCAGGTTTGTGACTTATTATCATAAAAAGCAATTTCAATAATATATTTTTACTGAAAAATTTCAAAAAAGAATTAAACCAATAATTAAATACAAGGTAACTAAATTTAGCAATAATTGTGAACCAGCACATTGAATATTACATAATGATAAAAATTTCAAAATCGATAAATATTAAAATTCGTTTTTAGCGACCTTAAAAACCTAATTAAATATTTTTATCTATTTTTACAAAAACATTTGTCAAGTTACTGCATTTTTATTTTTAAACCATTCATATTTTTTTTAAATGCATTATTTTCGTTGGACACGAAACATGGCCAATAATTTTAATGGACAATAATTCAGTGAAAAGGTATCATTTTTATCTTGCTTTGGTAAGCGTCCACTTTTTAAAAATAAGTCACGGCATGCCCACTCACTCACCACCTTAAAACGTTGGAGAGAAAACTTGGCCTGGCGAAAATGGTGGAGAAAGTGAATTTTGTAAAAAAAACATGATAAAAACTAGAAAATAAACCATAAACCAGACCTAAGAAAATAAGTCATGCGCAGACCCTCTCACGCACTACTTTAAAATGTTTCAGAGAAAAAATGGCTCACCGAAATTGGTGTAGGGTTTATTATTTCTAGTAGTTTTTTTGATTATGTACCACTTTTAATGTCTAGTTTGAACTTTCATGATTTCGTTGGACACGTGTCATAGCACAATTTAACAATAAATTCAGCCATAAGAAAATAAGTAACAAATATGCACGTTGGCTCCAGGACTATAACTATTTAAAAAAAAAAATTAATTTCTTTATACGTAATGTATTTAAGATTTTACATTACTTTGAAATTTTAACGTAAAATATAGAACTTTCGAACAATTATTTATCCAATAATTGTTTTTTCAACAAATGTCACTCAAAAAATAATTATTTCTTTGAAATGCTGTATTGCGAATTTTGTGTCTCAAGCAAAAAATGTAAAACAATTTTCCGAAAACCGCTGTCGAAGATACTTTTACAAACTTTATATATACGAGCCCTAACAACTATATGTTGGAACAAGAAATTATTTTACGAATAAAATGCCAGTTTGCCGAAATTCTTTTATTCTGTTTTTTTTTTTTAAATGTAAATATAATATGAACAAAAAATGTTTGTGATGTATGGAATTATTTTTACGGTTTAATTATATATTATGTTGATTTCTATTTAATTACTTGTTTGACAATCGAAAAATGCTGACAACTAAATATTGGAACAAGTGCTTTTTAACCAATTAAAATAAAAATTCATAAGGCGTAACGTCGCCCTTAGCTCGAATAACAGCCTGAACTCTATTAGGCATTGTACCAACCAGGCCTTCACAGAATTCAGGGGTGAAACTATCCCATATTTCTTGCAATTTAGCACGTAGTTGTGGTAAAGTACGCTGTGGATTATTTCTTAGGCATTGTTTCATTTTGTGCCAAAGTATTTCTATTGGATTAAGATCCAGGCAGCTAGAGGGATGTGACAAAACTTTAATGTCATGTTCTCCCATCCAATTTTAGTAGATTTAGCCGTTTGGCATGAAGCTCTGTCCTGTTGAAAGATAAAATCTCCGGATGGATATAACTTTGCTGCACTTGGTAAAAGCGAATGTTCAAGGATATCTTGATATTTGGCTGCGTTTACTATGCCTTCAATATAGTGTAAAGTTCCCAACCCTTTGGTCGATATACAACCCCACACCATGATGCCTTGCGGAAACTTTACAGTCCTCTTGAGACAATCCTTGTGGAATGCTTGTTTTTTCCCGAATCACACGCTTTTGGTAATCTCGCACACACATCTCAAATTTGCTTTCGTCGATATAGGTTATTTGGTCCCAATTATGTTTGGTCCACGAACGTTTTGATTTGGCCCAATTGTAACGATTCCTTTTTTGAGTTTCCGTCAACAATGGTTTTTCTTTGGCCTATTCGAATAATTTAAAAATCAGAAAATTTTTACCACAAAGAAGAACCTATTATACATACCTTATAAAAACTAAGATTGCTCTTGTGGATATATTTGCGACAGCATTCTCTGGAACCATTCATATCAGTTTCTCTATTCCACCTTGCGGTTACTTCTCGTAGTGTATTTCTTCTTCCCGACTTACATATTCTAATTAAATGCCTTTGCACTTCTTTGAGAAACAGCTTTTGGACGGCCTGAGCTTTTACCCCGAACATCAATACTGGCAGTTTCACCATATTTCTTAATTTTATTAATCACAGTAATTGTTGCTATATTCAATTCAATAGAAATTTCACGCATTGTTTTCCCTTTATGGTATTGATGAATAATAATTTCTTGCACTTTTGGATCAGTAGGTTTTCCATGTACCAATATTGTATTTTACTCTTAATAAAACTGACAGTTTTTAATTATTAATACTCAAATGACGCGTGACAATACTGACAATTATTGTTGATAACACACTACTTACTCGTATGTTTCATTTCAATGCCTCCTTCGCGTTATGCTGATAAAACTCAAGAAACCTAAGGCAAAGCTAAATATGTTTCAATATTTAGTTGTCAGTATTTTTCGATTGTCAAACAAATAATTAAATAAAAGTAATCAACAAAAAATATATATTTAAACCATAAAAATAATTCCATACATCATAAAAATGTTGTTAATTTCATATTTACAATTAAAAAAATTAGAATAAAAGAATTTCGTTAAATTGGCATTTTATTCGCAAAATAACTGCTTGTTCCAACATATAGTTGTTAGGGCTCGTATATTGTTACCAAATTTAGCGAAATCGTACAACTTTGTTTTATTTAATTATATTCTTAACTTAAATTCGTGCAATAAAACCTGGTTAAAAAAATCTCTCCTTAACCATATAATACTATCATACGTAAAAATTATGTATTTGTTCAAAAACTCTTCTGCAGCAACGGTACCCATTTAATTTCCCACTCCAGCCGCTAGCAGTGCTCTCCTTACATTTTATTACAGATGTTCTGAACAGTTTAGTACAATTTTGCAAGTGGCAGTGTTCGTGTCGTACCATAATCTAAATCTGTGTACGTCAAATTTACATGTCGATAGTATTAAAAGATAGATTTTAATACGTAAGTTTCACGTATCGATAGTATTTTGCGGGTATTTTATATTGTGAAAATGAGTGGAAAAGGACTAACTGATGCTGAACCTAAACAACTCTTATATGAAAGTAGTGATATTGAAGTGAAAGATAATATTGAGATCATAGAAAAATTTACAGATAGTGAATTTATATGACCCAGATTATTTGACCAAAGAAAAGGATCTAGAAGAATAGTTTCAGATATCTTTTGGAACCTACAAAGTACAGTAAAGCTCTATTAGTTAAAAAGAATGCAAAAAAGGCACTTGTTGTTTCTGAAGATCCAGTTGCATCTACATCACACTCTCAGGAAGGACAAGTAAATTTTATAATGTTAAATAATAGAACATTTACCTACCTAATAATATTTTTAGCCATTCAAAGAAATTCCTAGGGTACCCAAAGAATCCACAATACCTAAAAAGAAGCCAAAGGCATACATCTTATGATTCTGTCGAACCAAAATCATCTACTTTGCCTCAAGGAACAGTAAGTTATGCAAACCTAATCAAATAATTTACTTACTTATTTTATCATTTTTAGAAAGAAACCCCTCAGGAAACCAATGAACATATGCTAAATAAAATAGTTTTATGCACCAATCAAGAAATTAATAGAGCAAATAAAAATTACAACAACAAAAACTTTTTCTGATACAAATTTGGTTGAACTAAAAGCTCTCTTGGGAATCTACATACTTGCTGCAGCTATGAAGGATAATCATTTATCCTCAAAAAGGATGTTTGATACTTCCTATTGTGGAACACGCTACAGAAAAACCATGAGTAAATCAATATTTGACTTTTTAACTGCTTGTCTAAGGTTTGATAACAAGGAAACTCGGACCAAAAGGAGGAGTGTTACTGTGTTTGCTCCCATATCTGAAGTGTGGGAAGAATTTATTGAAGTTTTTAGGATATAATATAAGCCCAGTTCGTATGTCACAATTGACGAGTATGTTGTAGGATTTCGAAGCCACTGTCCATTCCGAATGTACATTATAAATAAGCCGGTATAGTATGAACTGAAATTGGTTTTATTGTGTGACGTTTAAACAAAATATCTTCTTATTGCCAGTCCATATGTTTGCAAATCTACTTATGCTAACGGGTTTCCTTTAGTGTATTATTTTGTTGAACTTTTATCTGCCCTGATTTATGGTACAAACCGAAACGTTACTATGAACAATTGGTTCACTAATGTACCTTTAGCAGAAAGACTGATTTCCAGGCCTTTTAACTCAACAGTTGTTGGAACAATTCAGAAGAATAAGCCTCACATCCCACCATTATTGGTCGAAACTGATAAAAAACGCCAGATAGGAACATCATTGTTTGCATAAACTTTCAATAGCATATTAGTGTCCTACAAACCAAAAACTAGTAAAATAGAAACACCATTGTCTACAATGCACACATTATCTGGAACTACTAACAAATATACCAAAAAACCAGAAATTATTTATTAATATAACACAACTAAAGGAGCAGTAAATACTTTTGGTCAGATGTGTTAAAGCATGTTTGCAAATCGAAAAACAAAAAGGTGACTTATGTGCACTTTTTATAATATGATAAATATAGCCTTCATAAACTCTTATGTGATTTACTCATAAAATGTTATCACTCAAGGAGAAAAGCCAATAAGTAGACAAATTTATTTGCTAGAGCTACAAAAAAAAATTAACAAAGCCTCATCATACTAGTTGATTGCAAGCGGTGACAAACATGAGTAGTGACTTGAAAAAAATTATTGACGATGTCCTGGAAAAAAAATGTGAGGTGAAGGAAGTTCAAGAACAAGAATACAGTACTAAAGGTCCTAGAAAATATTGTCATAAATGTCCTACCGCTAAGAAGAGAATAACATACTTTTCAAGTTTAAATATGCCCTAGTTGTGCTTAAAAAATCTTTGTAACTGCTATTTGGTATGTTTTATTTGAATAAAATTATGATAGTTTTGATTATATTTGCATTTTTATTTTGAATTTTTGTCAACAATAATATTGTTTATACAAGCCCCGTCCAGCTTCAGTTGGCCCACACATAAAATTAGTAATATTTTTTGATTTTTTCGCTCAAGGAGAAAACCAGCCTCTACAGTGTAATATTTAAGACAAAATATACTATTTACGGGAATATAGAAGATATCTGACTTCAATGTATAGTGCTGTCTCACAAAAAATACATGGTTAAAAAAGTAGTATCCTTGCGTTCATTCTATTAATAGAGTTGATAAATTTGTTAACTCTATGATTCTATTACCCAAGTATTGCTAACGACGAGGGTTAAGGTGGCTATGAAAACAACACTTTTTTAACGGAAATGACAATGACATAAGTTCCGATTGTAAAACAATTACTTAATAGTCCTATTTGTTGTCAATAATGGGGAGAGGAAAAGCAATTGATGAAAATATTCGATCAATAATCATTAATTTACACAAATCTGAAAAATCAAATGGCGAAATTGGAATATTACTCGGCTTATCTAGATACAGTGTTCGAAATATTGTTCAATTGTACTAATCAAACGGTTCAGGTGCCCAAAAGGCCCGATATGTGAAAAAGTCCAAATTAACAGATATAGATATAGAATGATAGACGAGCTTTAGCCAGAATTATTAAGTCTAATAGGCGTGCTAACTACGGAGAGTTGAGTGTACTCTGGAGTGAGGCCATTGGAAGACGTGTTTGTAGGTCTACATGTCATGCAGAAGCCAGAAAACTAGGATTTGGTACATACAAGGTAAGTTTTCTGAGTTCAATCTAAAGGTTCAAAAGATAATAATCTTTTTCGTTTGCAAAGGCTAAAGAAAAACCGTTACTGACTCCAAAACAGAAGCGAGACAGGTTGAAATGGGCTAAAGATCATCGAAATTGGGATATGGAGAGGTGGAATATTATACATTAGAGTGACGAATCGCGATTTGAAGTGTGTGTCGGTGATAGCCGGAGCAGAGTTATCCGCCAGAAACATGAAACTTATCATCCTGATTGTCTTAAGCGCAAAGTTAAATTTCCTTCTTCGGTAATGGTCTGGGGTTCAATGTCGTCTAGAGGGGTTGGAAAATTAAACTTTATCAACGGAATTGTAAACACAGAAAAATATTTAGACATTCTAGAGGACTTTTTGTTGCCTCCTTTGGAAGAGAGTAGGATTTCTGGAAATGACTTCACCGTTCAGCAAGACGGTGCTGCCTGTCACACGTCCAAGAAATCCGTGAAATGGCTTTCAAATCATGAAATATCACTCCTAAAATGGGTTTCCTCTAGTTCGGACCTTTCGCCTATCGAGACTTTTTGGCATGAAATGAAAAAGCGGTTAAGAGCCAATCCTGCCAGAACTGTTCCAGAAATCAAGCACAGGCTCCAGAATATTTGGGATAATTTTACTCCAGCGCAGTGTCAGGATTTAGTAAATACTATGCCGAGAAGAATTGAAGCAGTTATTAAAAATAAAGGGGACGTTACTCAGTGGTAGAATAAGATATCTTAGAGTTTAAAAAATCATAAATTTCTTTATTTCTAGTTTTTAAGTCCTAATCATTTCCAGTTGTTGTAACTATTTTATTTTTTATGCAAAATGTTTTTAAAATGTTACTTTAAAAATAAAAGTGGACAATTTTACCTCTATAACTCAAATGACCTTCGATACACGGCAATAACTGATATTTAATCAGGTGGGCCAACTGAAGCTGGACGGGGCTCGTACATACAATAAACAGCATTGCTTTTTTTTATCATACGTAATTTTTACGTGTCGATAGCATTAAGCGATCATCCAATAACGATAGTATTCTAGGGTTAAAGGCGGGTTGGGTTGTAAGTACAAAGAATACTGTAAACTCGGTTTAGCTAGCATACAAATGTCATTTTCAAAACTGGTGTTTAACAATAGGTATTAATTATAAAATGAGGTTTACAGTTTAAACAAAGATTACATTCTACCTTCCTAGTGTGCAGCTCTCCTTTAAAGATAGTGTAAATTTAAAATTGTTCCCTTGCTATATATAAATTAATTTATTAGGTAATATTACATTTTAACATGTTATATTCTGCATTACAAGTGGTTAAAATATTATTGTAATATAAAGACATTTATAAAAAATAATATAAAAAATATTAAAAAATCTAAATATAAACGAATCTAGTAATGACATAAATTTAAAAAAATAAATAATGAGTTAGTCACAAAATTTTGGCGATGTACGGAATTTCAGTAGTTTTTGCTTACAATAAAGAGATCCGCTTTTAATTAAATACATTTCTTCTAAAATAATATCTTGAAGTTATTCATGTTTCAACAATTTTAACAAGGGTCGTCGCATAGGTTTCGTCCACAATCCTGAAATAAATTAAAGATATTATTCTATAAGTAAGTATAAGAAAAAACCTATTTTATTAAGAGGGAAAGCCCACTCACGCGACATGTTGCGCGCGACTGATCGCGAGGCATCGCGCGCGGCAATACTTTAGATGTTTTTAAATGACTCAAAGCCCATTAACGCGGTTCTGTCGCGTGGTCGCACGCGGCTGAAAATTAAAAATGACAATCCCGCAATTTTTTCTTTTGTCGCACGCGGCCAGCTTTATCATGGATTTATATGGAGCATCACTCATACAAACGTCAAGTCGCGTGCGAAACGCCAGCTGAGAGTTGGAGTTTTCTGTTCGACTTTTCGACAGTTCCAGTGAAAAAATGTCCGACAGTTGTATTGATATAGATGAATTTATATCCGATATTTAAGACCGACCTCAAATATCGAACAGTTAATTGAAATAAAATAGCAAAAAAAAATATTTGTTCGGGAATCTGCGCTAGCAGTTCGTCGAATGACTCTTCTCTCATTCTGAAATATTTGAAGAACTTATCTTCATGTTGACGTTAATCCTTATGTAATAAATTTTTTCTACACCCGTATTATAATAATGCACTTATATGCCCATAATCCGTTTCATAATGATACCCATTATGATACAGATTTTTCATTACGATACAGATTTTTAATCAATAGAAACCTACAATTTTTCAATCAAGCATGCTGTTTGACGTTTGTCCTAGGTTCCTATGTAATTATTTTAGTTGTCAAAACGTATTAAATTTTCGTAGGTAGCTAAACTTCGATAATTATAATATTAAAATGTCTGATATTAGCGATATAGAAGACTCCTCCACACATATCGGAGAAAGCAGAAAATACAGTACAAAATATTTTACCGCAAAAATCTAGGGAAATACCAATACCTGAAGTAATACCATTAATTACAATTTTGTAGAATTTTTTATAGAAATACGAGTAATTACTGTTATTGTGTTCAATACCAATATAAATATAATATTTATAGGTCTTGATTATTTATCGGGTGTAGAAAAAATAGCGTATGCAACTCTCATGTAATGGTTATTAAAACACTCGCATAAACCATACGAAACTCGCCTTTGGCTCGTTTCGTATCCCGGTTAATGCTCGTGTATTAATAACCATCATTACATGATCGTTGCATAATATACTAAAATGCGCCTTTTACATAAGGGTCTATAAATAATGGATGAAGCCAGTTTCAATTTTTTCCGCCGAAAAACGAAATAAAACAACACCGTTACTACTTCTTCCACCTCTATTTTGATACTGAACGTCTATGTCGCTGCTTGTCGTCTGTTAAAAATCGCACCTAAAAAATCGCATGCGGCAGGTCGCGCGCGACATGTCGCGCGAGTGAGCTTTCCCTCTTAAGGTGGTAATGGAATTTGTTTTTGCATCGAAAGGTCGACTGTACTTAAGTCGCCTTTTTTTGAATTTTTTTAAAAAGGAAATTAAAATCTGGGATGCCAACTCAGACTTTATTTATATAATCTGGTCTTCTTTTTGTCACCCACAGATTATATCTTTCTCTAAAACGGATTCCCTTTAATTTCTCTCTTTCTGTTCCTTTCCTGTTCTTCCGATATAATTCTCCTCTTTCTATTATTCATATCAAACCTTTTTCTTAATAATTGTTTACAGAGTTTACACTTCTTCTTTTTAACATCAATTTAATTCAACATTTGAAATAAGAAAAGTTATTGGGTTAAACTATTGTACTAATCCAATTTCAAGGTAAAAAATAGGTTTAGTAGGCCCTGGCTTAACTCTGCATAGTATTCCCTATTAAAGTATGCTAACTATATAATCTACATTACAGTAATTTCAATGGATTAGTATATTGAGCGTATTTTTATTTATACAGGGTGTTATTGAAATACACGTACATATTAAAACTGAGTATTGCGCAGATCCCCACTGAATGTAGAAAAATATTATTTTTTAAAAATACCCCTTATTAAGGGAGTTATTAATTTTTGAAAATTAATTCTAAAACAAACGTACTTCACTGATATGTTGAGGATGACTTATATAAATTAGGTTTATTTACCAATTTTAAACATCAACAGTAATTAATATGCAAGTTTTTGTCAGATGATAAGAAAACTAGTCTTGTAAGAAATAACCATGTTGCCAAGATTTTCGAATTAATTTCTATTTCCGAAGACTGGTTTTTACTACCCTCGTTATCAAAAAACTAGAATATTTGATAAATGATTGTTTTTAAACTATACATTTTTGAAACTATAGATTATTAAAATTTTAGTTGATTTACGAATCTGGCTAACACGAGCGCGTCATTTCCAAGTTGGTAAAAAGTGTTGTTACGATTACTTTTAAATATTTTTTTACGATGCCACTATTTACGAATATTGAACTAACGGATATAGTGCTGGTTTATGGGGCAGATGGAGAAAATTCTTGGCAAGCACAAATCCTGTATCGCGAACGGTTTCCAAATCGGAGAATTCCGGACTGTCGTACGTTTATTTCAACTGTTCAGCATCTAAGAGACCATGGAAAATTTGAGAGTGTCAATGCAGATCGAGGGAGAACAAGAACACAAAGAACATTGGCGGCCGAAGAAGAAATATTGGAAGCTGTTGAAAACCGGCCTCAATTAAGTTGTAGAAGACTAGGTCTTGAAATTTGAGTGTCCTCATTTGTTGTGTGGCGGACACTTAAAGAACAAGGTTTACATCCTTATCACATCCAAAAAGTCAAGGCCTTATATCCAGGTGATGAAGAAAAGAGAGTGGAGTTTTGTGAATGGATGATTCAAAAATGTGTTGATATTCCTGATTTTCTAAAAATATTATTGTATACAGACGAGGCTTCATTCACTCGTGATGGAGTGTTCAATATGCACAATACGCATATTTGGAGTGATGAAAATCCTCACGCCATTAGGGAAACTGGGCATCAAAGAAAATTTTCAATAAATGTTTGGGCTGGCATAATAGATCAGTATTTAATAGGGCCTTATGTTCTCCCGAACAGATTAAATGGGCCAGGATATCTCCACTTTTTAGAAGATATTTTGCCAGTACTCCTAGAAGAGAAACCGTTACAATTAAGGCAACGGATGTGGTACCTACTAGATGGCGCTCCTCCTCACTTTGATTTAAACGTACGGCAGTTTTTGAACATTGGATTTCCTCAAAAGTGGATAGGCAGAAATGGACCTACTAAGTGGCCTCCGAGATCTCCGGACTTAAATCCATGCGATTTCTTTTTGTGGGGTCACATGAAACAACTGGTTTATAATGAACCTATTAATAGTGTTGAAAAATTAACCAATAAAGTTAATGCGGTAGCCGAGGAACTACGACAAAATCCAAGACTAATTTCTAATGTTCAAAGTTCTTTAGAAAGACGATTGCAAGTGTGTGTAAATAATAATGGACGGCATTTTGAACAATTACTGTAATAAACTTTATTTTGAATTAATTGGTTTTGCTACGGCAACAGTGCAATTTCTATGGGTAAGTTCAATTTCGATTTATTTTACTTCTTTAAATATGGCAACTAGTAGGTCGGAAAAGGGGACTCTTCCCCAATATTTAAATTTTAGAATTCGAAGTTAAAATTGGTGCCAATCGTTTTTGGCCATTACATACTATTCCCCATTTAAATATGTACGTGTATTTCAATAACACCCTGTATAAAGTGAAGTTTTGTAATAAATAATGTTCTATTATAATCTTTCTGGTTTAACTGTAGATCACTGAAGGTAATAATCTACTTTAACATCCCCTCTTTTTACTATTTTCCGTTATTTTTTTTTCTCGTTTTCAACTACCATAAATCTTCGATTATATAAACAGTACAGCAATTAATTATTTTATTCAAACAGATATCTGGTGGTTTAACCTAACCTACATTAAATTTTTTTTTAAAAAATACTTATTACACATGACTTTTTTAACTCGTTGTGTTAAACTTTTTGTAGAGCTTCCTTTATGGAATTAGTCAAGGTGAGTCAAGGTTATTGTTTAACTTTCTTTTGTGTTTTTTCTGTTATTTTGTATATGTTAAAGTCCGTTCATGCTTTTATAATTGTTTTTATTACAACTGACTCCTTGACATTCCATTTAGGTGTGCCTGATGATGAAGTGACAACTTCGAAACCGGTCGCCAATTAAATTAAATTGTGAGAAATAAAGGACCTTTTCTTTAACCTTTACACTTAGTACAGCAACAATCTGGCTTATTTTTTGTCGTCTAAGAACAAGTAAAATTATTTCTCTTTAAAGAGAGATTCTTGACTCGATTGACAGATTCTATATTGCTCCTAATGGTCGAGATGACGATCTGCGCTACAGTACGATTTTGTATTCTCACAATGTCATTTTATGTTTAAAAATAAACAATTTTCATAAGTGTAGGAGTGGTAAAAAAAACAAACAGAGAAATAGGCTCTATAAACTAAACGATGCAGTTATTCTTGCATCCGCTTTGGTAAATAATATAAAAATATTACCTAAACAGCCAGATTAGGTAGAAGAAAAATGTGGTTCAGTATTAAAACCATTTATATTTCTTAATATGTTTACTTCTTTGGATCGTTTTAATGCTGAAGACTTTTATTTTGGACCAAGTCGAAGACGAGTAAAATGAACAAGGACAAAAACAACTTGATATATTAATATATACAGTGAGTTTTGAGTATGAAACGCCTTAATTATCTAGGAAACGGGATGCACGATTTTTATGTATGTACTTTGGTATGAGGTTTTGTAATACGGCCGATAGGTTGTATTTACATTGTTGTTAGATCTTTCGGTTTTCTGGAAATATGGATAACCCTGTATATTTTTTGTTTTTGAAATCCATAAGAAATACTAAATATTTTTTATGTAATGTTTCTTATACCAAGAAATATACAAGTGTATCAAAATCGTGCTAAACGTTTTCGAGATAATAGAGGCGTACTTAAAACTCACTGTGTATAAATTCTGATGAAATGCAAGGGGCCACAGCGGTTCTAATATTTATGTTATTAGAAACTGCTTAGGAAGCTTAACCCTTAAAAGTGAACACACTGTCTCACAGACGGTATGGCTGGGTATACGATATCTCCCCACCAGAGATAACAGAGATATAGCCATTCATTGATAAAATATAATATTCACGATGACGAGAATTTAAAAGTCGGCGGTGAGAAGTTGAAAGGTGAGAAGTAAGAAACGGGATGAAAAGAAGGATTTTACGCAGATACAACTTTATTTTAACAATGAATAAATGTGTAAGCGATGTTCGCTTATAAGTATGTTACGTAAGAAGAGTTGTAAGTAACCCATTAAGCACGAAGTAAAAAAAATTTACGAGTGCGTAATGGGCCCTTAACTCGTGTAACGTACTATAGTTTTTCTACGCCAACTAAAAGCATTTTTAGAAGTGTGGGTTTCTCTAAATATTTTAATTCAAACTGTCGAAACCATCTTATAGACGGAGTGTTAGTATTACCGTTAGTATTTTTTATTTGTCTGCAATAGATCAAAAACTCACTAGCTCAAAACGAATGAGATATGGCGACCCAAATTATGAGAATACTCCTCGAAGGTGGTGCGAAGAAATTGGCAGCAACAATAGTGACATATCAAAATGTGATGAGAATTTAGCTGTAGAGACTGATCATGGCTCAGAATCCGAATTTAATTGTAACAAATATTTTAAAATAATATCAGCTTGTGTGAACCTGTGTGGTGAAGAGACTGAGAGCGAAGAAAATGATAGTGAAAAAAGTGAAGAGCATGTACTTGAACGAAACTTAAATTTTTATTTTGGAAAAAACCGGTTCAACTGGACCAAGAAACCTTTGACTTAAACAGAGGACGCCGTCCACAGCACAACATAGTTTTGCACTTACCTGGTTTACGAGAAACAACAAAAAAAAAAGAATTAAAGATCCTGTTTATCGAAAAATCGAAAAATCGAAAAATCGAAAAATCGATAAATCGAAAAATCGAAAAATCGAAAAATCGAAAAATCGAAAAATCGAAAAATCGAAAAATCGAAAAATCGAAAAATCGAAAAATCGAAAAATCGAAAAATCGAAAAATCGAAAAATCGAAAAATCGAAAAATCGAAAAATCGAAAAATCGAAAAATCGAAAAATCGAAAAATCAAAAAATCGAAAAATCAAAAAAATCGAAAAATCGAAAAATCGAAAAATCGAAAAATCGAAAAATCGAAAAATCGAAAAATCGAAAAATCGAAAAATCTAAAATCTAAAAATCGAAAAATCGAAAAATCGAAAAATCGAAAAATCGAAAAATCGAAAAATCGAAAAATCGAAAAATCGAAAAATCGAAAAATCAAAAAATCGAAAAATCGAAAAATCGAAAAATCGAAAAATCGAAAAATCGAAAAATCGAAAAATCGAAAAATCTAAAAATCGAAAAATCGAAAAATCGAAAAATCGGAAAATCGAAAAATCGAAATAAAAATTCCGTAACGAAAATAAACCTAACACCCCTCACTCCAACCGGCACAGCGGTGCGGCGTTGAAAGCCGTTCATCGTCTAACGTCGTTTCAATTCGGCAGACTTCGGCACGGTGTTTGCGTGCGATTAGACGTATCCGTGTAGACTAGCTGCTAACTGCTCATAACTCATTCTATCTCTATTAGACATGATTTCTGAAAAATTGAATTTGAAAATGAATAATGATAAACAAGAATCCACAACAAAATATGGGACCACCATTGACGCGGTATTTTCCAGACATTTACTCTCAAACTTATGTTTCTTATTTCAGTTACCATAAACCTAGAGTTTCAATGATAAAAATTCCTGAATAACCTACATGTATTGTAAGATAATAAAAATATTTTAAACAATATTAACTTCTCATTTATTCAATAAAAGAAAAAAATTGTTTTCTTATCGGTCACCACGCTCAAAAAGTGTAACTTGAATTATTATCAAAGAAAAAACTTGAATTAATATCAAAGAAAAAATACTGCATAAATAAAATAAATAATGATAATTGCATAAGTTGATAAAAAATGCTATGCAATAGCTTTACCGCGGCAGTCCCCGAGTGCCACACGTATTTTTTATGTAACAAATTGGTCTATTTTTTATGCAAGAATCTTGATTTTACTTCAAAGTGTTTCCAAAAAGTGAAAAACTAATATTTTGAAAAACCATTCTAGCGTTTCCTGGTGAAAACAAGTATCTAACGAAAGAACTTTAATTTTTTAATTTTTGTTAATTCAGCACCGAGTTAGGAAGGACACCGCAATTCTACTTTTTCGAGACCCTTCCGAATAATTGCTACCATTTCCGTATTTTTAAATATTTCTACATGAAAATTTGGCACAATATTCTTCGAATGTTATAATTTAATGAACTGTTAGTTTAAATAAACAGGTTTCGATAGTGTCGCCAAAAAAAAAATCACAAAAATGTGCTTTGTTTGCACGAATTAACCTTACCCCTCCCTCCCCTTTAATTTATGTCTTTTTGAATTACTTACTTTAATTAATACAACTTAACATTATTAATTGTATCAATTACCTTTGATTTGTTTTTTTTTAAGATTTTCACTCATTGAATTCATGTATAAAGATTTCTGTTCAATTTATTTATAATTGTTATGCTACTGGTTATGTTTTAAAATTACTTGTGCTTTAAAGATCGACATTTAAATTTGTAGATTTAATACATTATTATTTATAGCCATTTATGTAATCAAGTTATTTACTCTTTATTGCAACATTGCAACGGTTTTTTGTATTAAAATTTAACAAAGGTTGTATTTTAATAAAAGTTTTTCAGAAATTGTTTTTAAGATGATGGGACAAAACATGGGTTGTGTATCCACTATTTATCTTTCAGAATGAAAATAGTAGGAAATAGAAATGGATCAATACTTACAAAACAACAAAAACAGTATACAACTTTTAACATCACACTTTCCATTAACAAGAAAACTCCAGATGCACTGGCGAATATGCCAGCAAATCTCTGTAATCCGCTTTGCCCAGTTGAGTCCAATATGCCGCATACGACTAATATCAATCCTGTGACCAAAGTTATACAAGAAATTATCTTTAAGCAAGCACAATTTCTATTACACATGTTCTTGAATATTATCATAATCAAGTTAAACAGAACACAGAAAGCTGCGGCTAATATTGCCATCTCAGAATAAGTAGTAAACTTCTTGCACTGACCTGTGAAGTGCAAATAAAAATATAGGCCTAAAGCAACCTGCGCCATAAGCAGGGCTAGTATCTGAGTTGCGTTAAGCAGCATATCGTAACAGCTCCAGGGATCAGTATCATCGTCATCATCTTTCTGGTTGGTGGTATTAGAAACCATTTGATTACAGCTACAGTCATTCCTACCTTTAACAAAAAATGTATTAAAATTTTATATTTCCCAAAACCAATGTGTTAAGGTGATTTAGCAAATTTGCGAGTACATTATTTATTGCGATAAAATAACGAATTGATTAAATTGAGTAAAAAAGGTCGTTGAATTTTAGTGAGACGAAATCGCTAATGGCTAAAGAATGTAAGAAATTGGACGGTTTTAAATATCTAAAAACTAAGAGAGTTGTAGTCAATTCTCAATAATGCAGGAAGAAGTTCCAAGAAAAAAGATTTACAATTGTTTTAGTTATATTAATTAGATATTAAATAATACTTTTTATAGTTATATAAAAAATACATATTCTGTGCCCATTTTATAGGTACTTATTATTGTGGAGCTCCTGAAATATATCTAGTTCTTTAAATAAACATTATACATATTATTGAATCGAAAATACAATTGTTCAAGAACTTTAATTGCTGTTTTGGTAATATATGTTTAGTTATCTCCTAATTTTTATAAAACATTTTTCAATTCAAATAATATGCAGTAAAAGTGTTTTAAATAAAATAAAATCCTAAAACATTGCTACTTACCCGAAGCAGACATTGCAGGCGTTCTAAATCAATATAATAGTTTTGATCTTTCGCTTAATAATATACTGTCAAAATAATGTCAAACGTACACATAACCTATTCTCTGTTTTTAAACTTGGAGGAGCGATTTGAATTTAAGTTGGCAATTCTGTAGACTTCTAATTGGTCAGATTGCAGTCAGTTTCACACATCACTTTTTGGCATGAACATAAGCTAATAATACACTAGTTCAGTAATAATGTAATTATGGTTTCACTGACAATTAAAGTGACAGTAGATTTTTTGAGTGCGTTTTGTTCGTTTTGTTTACCTAAATTATATCGTTTTTTCACTTTTATAAATATATTTTTAAAGTAGATAACATGCATCAAATATACAATTGTTTAGTTACCAATTACTTACCTTTTAACTATTTTTTATGACCTGTAAACAATATTTAGAAATAAACTTAAAACAGTAAAAACGTATATGTCAAATTTATTGATGTTTTTGTTAAAAGTTTGGTTAGAATTAAATGTCAGTGGAACCAAAATGACATTACACCGAAAGTTCTTTATAATTTAATGTCTCATTATTATTGGTGTTTTACTTTATTTCGTAAATAAGAGTTCCTTTAATAACTTCAGTAAGCCATTGTATTGAATTTCTGCAATTATGGATCCTCCTACCCTGAGTACTATTAAGGGTAGCAATTCCTAAAAAGCCCTTTCATGCTGATTTAAGGTTTTATAGAAAATGCATTATTGGTTTTTGAAGGCAAAAAGATAAATTCCGAAGTATTTTAGAAAAACTAACAACTTTATTATTAATTTTTAAAACAAAAAATCTATGAATTTCTAACCAAAATGATTAAAATCTAACTAAATATTTAAGTATATTTTATTTATTAGAAAAGAATAAAACCTTTTACAAAATTGTTATAACATTTAAAACACCGTCTACAATTTTAAAGATAATCTTAATTTAGCATAATGAGTTAACATTACTTTAACAACAAATATTTTAAAAATATCTTCTTAAAATTAATACATAAGTTACAGCCAGAGTTAAAAGGACTTACAATATTATTAAACAGTTTAAGTAATGATATAATATTGACATGTAGTGTTATGAAAATGTTGGTTCCAGTTTTCAAAACGAAATCTGACTCATAGGTCTGTAAACTTTTGAATGCCTTTATTTGGTCTTTAGCGTATTAACACTAAACCACAATATCCACATTACTCATAAAAGGGATTCCAGTTACTGTGTGATCCAGTTGTCATTCACTGATTAACTTTTATATAAATATATACTACGAAGACTAGAGAGAAGGAGGCGAATCGGCAATGGTCAAGTTCAAATTTCCGTCCTTCTTTTTATTAAGTTCGCGAAATTGACTGTAGTTGGCACACATACTTTAATCAAAGTATGTGAGTTGGCATGTTGAATGACAGCGGTGTCAATTTTCTATGTAAGCCTGTGCACCTGGTGAAATTCAGTTTTCTTTTCTTGCGTCTATATTTAAGAGGAATCTCACAACTACTTTCCTCAAAGTGGATATCTAAATTCAATTAAGTTTGTCCTTTCTTCGACAAGAATTTAGACTTATTTTGTGGCATTCGGAGCAGACCGGTATTTTAAACATTAATTTAGTTCTTTCCTGTTACACAGAAAGAAATAGATTAATGCAGCGGTTTTGCCAGACTAAGTATCATAATACTTATAGGAATATTGATAGAGAGTAAGATATATCTTACTACTATAGTAAATCAGTCAATTAATCCCTATATTTTTTATTTCATTACCGCTGTAGCATACTCGAAAACAAAAATTCTTATAGCGCCGACTGAATGACTTATAACCAGCAGATTCAGTTTTATACAATCTGATATCTATTATCACTCTAAAACGCATTATAATCTCAG